ATAATTAGTCAATAATAAATACCAGTTATTATCAATACCCCAACTTCAGGGGGAGGCAGTACTTCCTGCGGGCGGGCGAGTACCGGCGCTACGGGGACTGGTGCGCCACCTGCGCCACCATCGGCTCCTTCAGGAGGGTCACCGACTTCTAGCTGCCGCCATTAAAGAGTTCCACCTTAAGACTCTCTGAACCAGCCTCCTTCCTTTGGTCAGGAAAAACACCAGCTTAAAAAATAAAATAAATAAACCTCGTTCCTTCAGTCAGAGAAAACACCAGCTTAAAAAATAAATAAATAAAATAATAATAAAAAATACCAGTTATTATCAATACATATCATAATGAGTTAATAATAAATACCAGTTATCAATACATATCATAATTAGTCAGTAAAAACACTAGTTATCAATACATATCATAATTAGTCAGTAAAAATACCAGTTATAATAAAAAATACCAGCTAAAAAAATAAAATAATAAAATAAAATGATAATAATAATAAAAAATATCAGTTATCAACACATGTTATACTTAGTCTGAAAAATACCAGTTATTATCAATAAATGTTGTAATTAGTCAGACAAAATACCAGCTACAAAAATAAAAATAAAAAATTTAATAAAAAATACCAGTTATTATCAATACATGTTATAATTAGTCAATAATAAATACCAGTTATTTTCAATACATGTTATAATTAGTCAATAATAAATACCAGTTATTATCAATACATGTTAAAAGTAGTCAGAAAAACACCAGTTATTATAGATACATATAATTACTCAATACAAAATACCAGTAATCAATACATGTCATAATTAGTAAAAATACCAGTTATTATCAATACATTTTAAAAAAATCATATTTTTTTATTATAAAACAGTTGTAATATGTTATTATATCTGCCCTCCAACTCACCCGAAACACACCTGTAGGCCAGGTGTTAGGGGCCCTTTCTGACCACAGCAGGAGCCCGTTTTACCCACAAACCCTCTGGACAGACCTGGCAACCACAGGCAGGATCTGGCTGATTATCGAACACCGTTTAATAAATGTTTGAAACTAAGCTGTGGATAACATGTGTTTGTGATTTCACTTTGACAATCAAAGTTCCCCGGATTAAATACATATATATACATATATATATATATATATATATATACAGCAGAATCTCTACAGAGGAGTCCAGAGGGTTCCAGGAGCGACTTCTATGCTAAATATTGGTATGTTGTTTCAAATCTTCCATCCGAATACACTGTAATTCCTAGAATTGGTCCCAAAAACCTACGATAACTCCTCAATAAATACTGCAGATAATTACACATAGCAAGAAAACAAATGACTTCTAGAAGAGAGATGGAAAAAGAAATAAATGATAAAGAAATACTGTTGAACTGTTGAATGCAGTTAGCTGGTAAAACGACTGTTTCCACTCTTAACTCAGTCTAAATCTTGTTTTTTCCAAATAAAAACAAAGGCTCTGGATGATCCACTCTAAGGAGGGAAGTGTCGTTTTCTGTGCATTTATGAGGGAAACTCAACGTCTGGAAAAGCTTCGCTTTTACACTGAGAGTGCAAAGAAGAAGATTTTTGCAAAAGATTAAGACACATAACAACTTTTAAGGCTGGAAATGCTGAAAGAGGATCAGAAATATGCATAGACCTCCACCCGGGCAGCAGAATTTCAGCCTGTGAATGAGGACTGCTCATATTTCCAGCTGTTTTAACCTCCTGAGACCCGAGCTTTTATTTGGCATGCATTTTAGCTTTTTTTTTAAAGATATATGAGATACATATTTAATTAAATGTTTTTACAATTTTGTTCTGACAGTCCCATTGACTCATTTACAGTTTTTCTATTACACAATAAGAACATGATTGGATGGAAATGTATAAAACCATTTTACTTTAGATTTCAAACAGTGTCTGATATCATCCGCTATGATGCCAAGCGGTCAAAGCTGAAAGAAAAAAAGAAGTATCATGGTAAAGAGAGACAAAAATGCAACGTCCACTTATGAGGACACAGGGTCTCAGGAGGTTAAGCCCCAACAGCCTGAGAACTTTCCTTTTCTAAAGCTTTTTTCCTTTTCTGCAGGTTCTGGGGGGGTCTTGGCTGCTCTGAGATGTGGCCCGATGACCCGAACGTACGCGGAGAACCTTCCGACCGGCGCGTGCCCCCGAATGGACAAAAGCGATATCTGCTGCCAGAAACGTATGGACGGGCGGCCATTGTCACGCATTTATAGACCCCGTTCAGCAAAAGTCATCCTGCTAATTCATCAGCTTTGCATCATTTGAATAACAACACATCGCGGCCCCCGGGATCCTGTATAAAAAGGCCCTTTGATCACGGAGTTGGCACAGAGAGAGAGCTAAACCAGCCCGAGGACCATATCCCCGACCACCACCATGGGAAAGGTATCCGACGGACCCCAGCTCTACCCCCCCGGGATCCAGTTTCAGCTCTCAGACCCCGCTCTGCTCTGTTTCAGATCATCTTCTACGAGGACAGGAACTTCCAGGGCCGCTCCTATGACTGCATGAGCGACTGCTCCGACCTGACCTCCTACCTGAGCCGGTGCAGCTCCTGCCGGGTGGAGAGCGGCTGCTTCATGGTCTACGAGCGCCAGAACTACTCGGGGAACCAGTTCTTCCTGCGCAGGGGCGAGTACAACGACATGCAGCGCATGATGAGCTCCGGGATGACCTTCGACTCCATCAGATCCTGCAGGATGATCCCCCACGTGAGCCCTCCTGCACACAGATGCACATCCACGGTCACAGTTAGAGGCTTTGAGCCAAACCGACTCACAAAAAGAGGCTTCAACATCCAGCTAGAATATAGAATACACAACTAACATCCATTGATGCTACATGCTAACAGGATATGATGATGGGAGACGCTTTGATCCAAAGCGACCCTCAAAAAGAGGCTTTAACATCCAGCTAGAACATAGATTACACAGCTAGCATCCATTGATGCTAAATGCTAACCGGAAATGATTAAAGCAGATGCTTTGATTCCAAAGAAACTTCCATAAAGAGGCTTTAACAACCAGCTAGATCATCCATCGATGCTACATGCTAACAGGAAATGATAAAAATCCAGCTCTAGTTCCACTCTCACTTGAGTAAAATATGCTAGAAGAGGATTTAACATCCAACTAGATCATAGATTACAAAGCTAGCCTCCATTGATGCTACATGCTAACAGGAAATGATTATCGCTTTGATCCAAGGCGACTCACAAAAAGAGGCTTTAACATCCAGCTAGAATATAGAATACACAACTAACATCCATTGATGCTACATGCTAACAGGATATGATGATGGGAGACGCTTTGATCCAAAGCGACCCTCAAAAAGAGGCTTTAACATCCAGCTAGAACATAGATTACACAGCTAGCATCAGTTGATGCTACATGCTAACAGGAAATGATTAAAGCAGATGCTTTGATTCCAAAGAAACTTCCATAAAGAGGCTTTAACAACCAGCTAGATCATCCATCGATGCTACATGCTAACAGGAAATGATAAAAATCCAGCTCTAGTTCCACTCTTAGCTCAGCTTTATTAAAACATGCTAGAGGAGGATTTAACATCCAGCTAAATCATTGATTACAAAGCTAGCCTCCATTGATGCTACATGCTAACAGGAAATTATTATGGCTTTGATCCAAGGTGACACACATAAAGAGGCTTTAAAATCCAGCTAGAACATAGAATACACAGCTAGCATGCATTAATGCTACATGCTAAAAGGATATGATTAAAGCAGATGCTTTGATTCCAAAGAAACTTCCATAAAGAGGCTTTAACCTTCAGCTAGAACATAGATTGCACAGCTAGCATCCATTGATGCTACATGCTAACAGAAAATTATTAAAATCCAGCTCCAGTTCCAGTCTAAGCTTGAGTAAAATATGCTAGAAGAGGATTTAACATACAGGTAGAACATAGATTACAGAGGTAGCATCCATTGATGCTACATGCTAACAGGAAATTATCATAGCAGATGCTTTGATCCAAAGAAACATCCATAAAGAGGCTTCAACCTTCAGCTATAACATATAATACACAGTTAGCATCCATTGACGCTACATGCTAATAGGATATGGTAATAAGAGACGCTTTGATCCAAAGAAACTTCCATAAAGAGGCTTCAACCTTCAGCTAAAACATAGATTACACAGCTAGCATCCATTGATGCTACATGCTAACAGGAAGTAAGAGACTTTAGGGCTTTAGGACCAGAGACACTCTAGAAAAGCATCACTTCATTTAGACCCTGCGTCCTCTCTGTACTAGGATCATTCTTTTTTCTTTGACCTTTGACCTCTGGGCCTCATAGTAGACGCTATCAGACACCACTGTTTGAAATCTAAACGAAAATGCTTTTAGACATTTCACACCAATCATGTTCTTATTGTGTAATAAAATGTTGTAAATGAGTTATTTGGACCCTTAGAACCAAATTAATTAAATCAGTAAACAGACATTTTAAATCCAAAGATAAACCCACTGAGCCTCTATGAAGAAAAAATACCTGAACCAGGACAAAGTCTGGTTCTTAAACTGATCAGAGACCTGGACCAGAACTAGAACCAGGACAAAGTCTAGTTCTTAAACTGATCAGAGATCTGGACCAGAACCAGAACCAGAACCAGAACCAGAACCAGAACCAGGACAAAGTCTGGTTCTTTAACCTATTACTGATCCAGACATCTTGAACAGAGCAGAAACCAGATAGAAGCTTTTGGCTTTTAGAAGATTAAAGTCTTTTAACCTTACTTTTCCATATATTTCTTAATGTCTTACAGCACCGGGGCCAGTTCAGGATGAGGATCTACGAGAGGGAGAACTTCGGTGGTCAGATGCACGAGATGATGGAGGACTGTGACAACATCATGGACCGCTACCGCATGAACGACTGCATGTCCTGCCATGTGATGGACGGCCACTGGCTGATGTACGAGCAGCCCCACTACAGAGGCAGGATGATGTACATGAGGCCCGGCGAGTACCGCAGCTTCAGGGAGATGGGATACAGCGGATCCAAGTTCATGAGCATGAGGCGCATCATGGACATGTGCTAAACGCTTTATTACTGAAATAAAAAAGTAGGACAAACAAAAAAATATTGGACCTCTGGCTTTTGTTCTGCTGTGCAAACACAAACTAATGCATTAACATTAAGAAACATTACGTGAAATTCAACAGAAAAGAGAACATTTTCTGATTTTTTTATAGTTCTATGGCATATCAAGTTAAAACATTAAAGAGGCACAAAACTATTTAAATTGAATAAATCCAACTAATGCTCATAATAAGCATGTGCTGAACATTATATAACTGAAATAAAAACGTAAAACAAACCAAAAAATATTGGACCTGTTGCTTTTGTTCTGCTCTGCAACACAAACTAACGCATTAACATTAAGAAACAGTCAGTGGAATACAACAGAAAAGAGAACATTTTCTGAATTGTTATAGTTTCATAGTTCGAGAGTTAAAACTTTAAGGAGGCACAAAACTATTTGAATTGAATAAATCCAACTAATGCTCATAATAAGCATTGGCCTAACATTTTATAATTGAAATAAAAGAGCAGAACATACGAAAAAATATTGGACCTGTGGCTTTTGTTCTGCAGTGCAAACACAAACTCATTAACATTAAGGAACATTAAGTGAAATACAACAGAAAGAGAGAATTTCCTGAATTGTTATAGTTCTATGACATATCAAGTTAAAACCTTAAAGAGGCACAAAACTACAAGCATTTAAATTGAATAAATCCAAGTCATGCTCATAATAAGAAGTTAAAGATTCTATATTGCAGAAATAGTTAGGAATAAACAACATACAAGTAATTTTTATCTTAAAAAATCATCCATATAATCCATATAGCTCAACTGATAAAGAAACGAATAATCCTGATTTATTTAGGCCTCAGCTGGTCACATTAAAGTAAAAGTCGCTCAGGTAAATTTAGGCAAAGCAATTAAAAGGGTAAATGCACTAACATCACTGGGGTAGACAGTAGACAACATCAGTCCAGAGGTTTACTGAGGTTAGAGGGGAGTTTTCATATGATACAAACCAATAAAAAGCACCTCAGATGGGAAAATTTTAATCAAACGGGGAAAAAAAGTGTTTGATCACAGACCAAACCTGACAAGGAAAAAGAGCATGGATCAGAAATACTGATCGAATTAATGGTATAACAGCAAAGATCTGACAAAAGAGGGTAAAAACTGATGAGTAAGAGGCAGCTGCTGTCACATATCCGACAAACAGGTCAGTGGAGGGAACTGAGAACAACTACTGATGAAGAACCGAGAACCAAAAAGAGAACCAAACCGAGAACCAAACCGAGAACAAAACAGAGAACTAAAGGGAGAACTAAAGGGAGACCGACTGAAATTTAAACACAACAACCAAGAAGAGCAAGATTAATCATAAAAGAGATTCAAAACAGAAAGAAACCTAAAGGAAATACTAGTCTAGATAAAGAATAAATCCATATTAAACCCAAAAAACCAAGATATAGAAACAAGAAAACCATAATTAAACAAAAGGAAAGCTTACTCAATGAATAAAGATGGAAAGCCTTTAGTAAAGAAATATCACAATATTCTGAAATGTACTGTCAATTAACTTAATAAACTTTTGTTTATCGGCTCTTAAAAGTTTTTTAGCTGTCAAACTGACCGTTAAATAATTGAACAAATGATTTTCCTTCTAAATATTTTCTGAGTTATAACTTTTTCACAATCTTTAAAGATAACATCTCTCCTGGGGTCTTTATTTTTCATTTTTTGTCCAGAATTTAACCAAACGGCTATTTAACATTGATTAAAGCCACATATTGCTGGAGTAGACACATTACTAAAATAATTAGCTTTATTTTAGACATATAAAACTAGCTCGTTAGCATATTGTTAGCATTAGCTAGTTAGGTCTTACATGTTAGCCAGTCAGCTAACATGAAATGGTTAAAATAATAAAAATAAGAATGGCAACCGTTACGTTTTCTCAAATTTAAACGTGTATTTGTGTAAACTTGTAGTTAGAAAACGAAGGCTTTGTTAAAGCTCCAGAGCAGATTATTGTGATTGTTTTAAACATGTATACGTGCTAATTTAGCCGCTAACGGCTGGGCCCGGTTAGCCCTGGTTAGCTAACCCAAAGAAATGTTAGCGTTATCTTCTTCCACCATCAAAAATACGATTTTAGAGCATGAACATAGAACCTAGGACAATCTGGGTGTTCACAAAAAGATGTCAATGGACCTAAAAACAAAACATCTGTGTGTGTTTGTCTTGTTTTCACCTGATTTCAGACACAAAAAAAACCCTTTACAGTTCATTTCTTGAAAAGAACAATATGGAAAACTCTTGTTGCTCCCACAAAATGACTGTTGTTCCATTTACTGAACAAAAAAGAGGAGCAGCAAAACAAAATGCTGCCACTTCCCTTTGTGTGCCACAATGGCAGCAGGCTCTATTATTTAGTGATATAATACAGACCCTGTCATGCCACCGGTTGTTTGTGGCTGTCAGCTTTTTGGATCCCTGCCTGGCTTCTGGATTGTAAAAGATTGACATGAGCTCATGAATTTGCTGTTTTGCTGAGCTAAAGACTGAAAACTCAACTCTACTGGTGTTCAAAGGTTGTTACTTTACCTTTCTGTTGCTTTTCCCACATATTTTTTGAAGGTTTACTAATAGCTGAAGCCATTTATATTGTGTTTCTGCTGTAGTTTAAGCCTTTAAGCATTTACAGACCTTAAACTTTAACGGAAAATCTTATGCAAAATTTTCAATGATTTATATTTAACTTCCACTCAACTTCAAATGAGTTGCCAGTGCGTAAATTAATTGTTTGTTCTAATATTTCATGTTCAGGGATGAAATGAATTGGGCCATTGATTTTAAAGTGTAAAAGCTAATGTGATATGGTATGGCTATAGCATAAAAAGTTATTTCTTCCCTTTCTGAATACAAATCTAAACATTTAAAGGTAATGAAATGCTGCCATTTGGTGGTGTGAACTGTTACTACAATAACAAAACAAAAAAACTGATAAATTTATGGATGTTTTAAATGCTTTTTATGAGTTCATAGTTGTTTATAGCTTGTGTGAGTTTGGGATCATTGATCTTTAAGTAAGAGAGGAATCCATTTAGGAGAGAATCATTGGGTTTTTATTATTTGTTAACATCTTGCTTTTGTGCATGGATGCTCTAGTAGCAGGAGTCCATGATGCGCCTCATGCTCATGAACTTGGAGCCGCTGTATCCCATCTCCCTGAAGCTGCGGTACTCGCCGGGCCTCATGTACATCATCCTGCCTCTGTAGTGGGGCTGCTCGTACATCAGCCAGTGGCCGTCCATCACATGGCAGGACATGCAGTCGTTCATGCGGTAGCGGTCCACCATGTTGTCGCAGTCGTCCATCAGCTCGTGCATCTGACCGCCGAAGTTCTCCCTCTCGTAGATCCTCATCCTGAACTGGCCGCGGTGCTGCAGAAACCGGGAAAAGTCGGAATCAGACCCGTCTTTACACGTCAGTTTGCCCTACTGGGGTTCTGGTACAGCTCCCTACGAGCATTTATTAGCTTCTACTGCACAGTTAAACAGCTCAAAATACATAAAAATGATCATTTTGACTTCTTCTGCTCAGATAGACAGCTAAAGATCCATAAAAATGTTATTTTTTTTAACTTCTACTGCTCAGATAGACATCTGTAAATCCATAAAAATGGTCATTTTGACTTCTACTGATCAGATAGACAGCTGAAGATCCATAAAAATGTTAATTTAGTAGCTTTTACTGCTCAGATAGACACCTGTAAATCCATAGAAATTTGCATCTTAACTTCTACTGCTTAGATAGACAGCTGAAAATCCATAAAAATGATCTTTTTGACTTCTTCTGCTCAGATAGACAGCTGAAGATCCATAAAAATGTTAATTTAGTAGCTTTTACTGCTCAGATAGACACCTGTAAATCCATAGAAATTTGCATCTTGACTTCTACTGCTCAGATAAACAGCTGTAAATCCATAAGAATGTTAAATTCAATTCAATTTTATTTATATAGCGCCACATCACAACAACAGTTGTCTCACAGCGCTTTCCAAACAGAGCAGGTCAGACCTACTCTGAAGTTAACTACAGAAACCCAACAATTCCCACCATGAGCAAGCACTAGGCGACACAGGCAAGGAAAAACTTCCTTTTAACAGGCAGAAACCTCGAGCAGAACCATGGCTCAGGGTGGGCGGCCATCTGCCTCGGCCGGTTGGGGGTGAGGGAAAGAGAGGGCAAGAGAGAGAGAGAGAGAGAGGGAGAGAGAGGGAGAGAGAGGGAGAGAGAGAGAGAGAGGCAGCCAACACAGTAGAATGTTGATTCATTAACTTCTACTGCTCAGATTAACAGCAGTAAATCAATAAAACGTTTCATATATTGACTTCTACTGCTCAGAAAGCCACTTTAAAACCATTAAAATGTTAATTTTATTAAATTCTACTGCGCAGATAGACAGCTGAAGATCCCAAAATTTTTAATTTATTAGCTTCTACTGCTCAGATAGACAGCTGTAAATCCATAAAACGTATCGTATATTGACTTTTACTGCTCAGAAAGCCACTTTAAAACCATAAAAATGTTAATTTATTGACTTCTACTGCTCAGATAAACAGCTGTAAATCCATAAAAATTGTGATTATAACTTCTACTCTTCAAATAAACAGCTGTTAATCCATAAAAATGATCTTTTTGACTTCTACTGCTCAGATAGACAGCTAAAAATACATAAACATGTTAATTTATTAACTTCTACTACTCAGATAAGCAGCTGTAAAACCTTAAAAAGGATCATTTTAACTTCTACTGGTCAGACAAGCATAAAAATATTAATTTATTAACTTCTACTGCTCAGATAAGGAGCTGTAAAACCATAAAAATGAGCATTTTGACTTCTACTGCTCAGATAGACAGCTGAAAATGCACAAAAATGTTAATTTATTAGCTTCTACTAGTCAGATAGAACGCTGAAGATCCATACATATTTGTGATTTTAACTTCTTCTGCTCAGAAAAACAGCTGTAAATCCATAAAAATTATCATAAATTGACATCTACTGCTCAGATAAATAGCTGAAGATCCATAAAAATGTTAATTTAGTAGCTTCTACTTCTCAGATAAACAGATGAAAATCCATAAAATTATCTTTTTGACTTCTACTGCTCAGACAGCCACTCTAAAACCATGAAAAATTTAATTTATTAACTTCTACTGCTCAGATAAACAGCTGTAAAACCATAAAAAGGACCATTTTAACTTGTACTGCTCAGGTAACCAGCTGTAAATCCACAAAAATGTTAATTTATTAGCTTCTACTGCTTAGATAGACAGTTGCAAATCTATAAAAATGATCATTTTAACTTCTACTGGTCAAATAAGCATAACAATATAAATGTATTAACTTCTACTGCTCAGATAAGGAGCTGTAAAACCATAAAAATGATATTTTTGACCTCTACTTCTCAGATAGACAGCTGTAAATCCATAAAAATGATCATTTAATGGTCAATTTCTTAGCTTTTTCTGCTCAGACTGGTTCCTACCATGGGGATCATCCTGCAGGAGCGGATGCAGTCGCTCATGCCCATGCGCTGGTAGTCGGCGTACTCGCCCCTCCTCACGAAGTACTGGTTGCCCATGAAGTTGGGCCTGTCGTAGACCATGAAGCAGCCGCTCTCCACCCTGCAGGAGTGGCACCTGCTCAGGTAGGAGGACATGTCCGGGCAATCGCTGCTGGTCTCATAGTGGCGCCCCTGGAAGTTCCTGTCCTCGTAGAAGATGATCTGAGGAGGCAAAACAGAAGCAAAGATCCTTTTTAAAACGCCTCACAGGAGAAAATCAGGGCTATTGTTTCTCTGGGGAGATGCTTTATTGAATTGAATTGAATTGAATTGAATTGAATTGAATATACTTTATTTATCTCCAAGGAGAAATTGACTTCCAGTACAGCCCGTACCAAGATCAAACAAACAAAAACACATAGACACAGCAGTTCGGGAAGACTGAGGGCAAACACACAGGAGGGCGCACCAATTTTTCTTCAGAACAAAAAGAATACATTGGGAAAGCGGTTGCAGAAAGAGGGAAAAAAAAAGGCCCAGTGCCACGCCCCCTACAGGGGACGTAACAGTGATTTTTAAAAAAACACCTCGTACACTAAAGCACAGATACAGTCAAAATCACAACATCAAGGACACATAGGGAGGGAGGGATGGGGGGATTGGAAGGAGGGGGAAAAAGGTAACAGCGAGGCAGTGAGTCCAAGGAATGCATGTAGAGGGGGACACACACCTTTCCCATGGTCATGGTGGAAGAGTTCTACTGTTGGGCTCAGAGGGACTGCGCAGGTTTTTACACCTCCTCCCGTTTTTATACCTGACCTCCCGCCCAAAAGCCCTTTGTCCAAAGCCCTGACAGAGCAAACGCGGAGCGGAGGCCCCGCGTACAGTTCAATTCAAAGGGGACCCTTTAATGCGTCGTGATTTGCGGCGGTTGCATTTGTGAGCGGAGGCCCCCGCTTTGTTTTGGGGCTCTGCTGCTGAATTGAATCATAGTGTGTTTTCCACACGTCCGCCCGCCTCTGCAACTGTTAATCGAACATTTAGCACACCCGACGTGTCCACGAAAAAAAGCAGAATCGCTGGTTTGTTTGGGTTTTTATTTGGTTAAAACAGCCTCAGATGGTGAAGCGGTTCGCCAAAACATGGCAACAAATCAATGCATTATGATCAGAATTAAGCAAACTGGCCTCGAAACTGAAAACTGATTAAGGTCTATAAAGCCAAATGTGTCATATCTGATCCGGTTTCTGAAGTCTTTTGGATCTGAGACTTTTTGCATCATTCAGTGGTAAAAGCTTTGCTCAAACCCCTGTTGTACACATTCAGATATACCTGATAACAGCCAGTAGAAGACTACACCAACATACATTTTTGACTTACTGCACGCTCATTTGATCAAAATAATATCAGTTTTTTTTTCTTCATTTGTTGTTGAGGGGCCAAAGAAAGACTTCAGACTAAATAGATATAGTGAGCTCATTGTCACGTTTATTGGACAAATAATCCACTGATGGCCCATATTTTGCAGGATGCTGATAACAAAGATCTGACATCTTTGCAAGAATACCTGCTAATGCAAAGTGTTCTGTTCTGTTTATAATACATCAACATTATTTCTTATAATAGTTCTTCCATTTAACCAGAAAAACAAAGCAACAAACTTGTATTCATTAAAAACACACACAGGTTTGCCACAAAGAGAAATTGGTTACATTCATTATTATTCATTCCTGTGTATTTAAATTAATCTGATATGAAAACTGTCTTTTGGGGACATTGGTGGACTTATTCCATGTGTCTCCTCATGATGGAGCTCCATTTTAGCTTCACAGCTTTAAAATAGCTGCTTATATTTGTAATCATTGAATTCATCAGCGAAAAATCAGTGAAATCTTGTGTGAAATCTTTCCAATAATGATGATTTATTGAACGTGTCTCTGGGACAGAAATATGCTGATTTATTTGATTGTGTTTGTGATTCTTTTTTTAAAATAATTTTTATTTTCAAATGTTTTCACAGTATCAAACATATATAAACACAAATATAAACATATAAGGGAAGTATGCCAATATTCACAAGACAAGGTTTTAAGTACAGAAACGTATCGCTCATACAAAATCTGACCGTAACGGTTATATGTACTTAGTCCATTTTGTCTAGATTTTGTGAAACCTTTCCTTTTGCATCCTGAGGGAAAAAGACAACTTTTCCATGACATATATTTCATGTATTATATTGATTTTGTCCAACCAAACGATGAAACAGGCAAGTAAGGATGCACACTTTAATCTTTTTAATGTGTTGTTAAAAAAGAAACCGACTGCTTTGAAGCTTCTTTGGTTGCTTTTTGTCCTAAATATAAAAAAATATTAATTAAAACAATTCTCGAGTGCAGTGAACTACTAATATTCCAAGAAAAAAAATGTAATTTGACACCTATAACGACCATTAACTCCAAACTTTCCCTTCTGCTCCTCCCGTCAGAGCACCTTCAGATGTCTGACCATGAAGAGGCATGCAGAGTTTTAAGGGTTAATTCTTTAATTCTGCACCAGGTGAACCGAGTCTGAAAAGAAGTGAGGAATGTTTATCTTTTAGTCTACTAGAAAAACTGGAACCACCTCCTTAAAGGAGACATATTATACCCTATTTCAACAAGTTAAGCTAAAATGGTGCCGTGACCCGGATCGTAAATTCATGTTGATGACATTGGAATGTGGTACCAAATGATGTGTGTGTGTGTGTTGACTTAAAGACGTGGATCTATTGCAACAGAGAAAGAGGATAGAAAGAAAAAGAGAGAACAAAGAGAATCTGTGGTTACAGCCAGAGACTTCATATAGTTATAAAAGAAATAAAACAATCAGTAATCTACATAGATCATGTGATAGCATACTATGCTAAAGTGAGTATTTATAACCAAATCCTAACACTACCATGCTAACGCTACCATGCTAACGCTCACGCTACCACGACGTCTCCACAGATAGGCGGAGTAAGCTGAGGGGGGGGGGGGGCAACATGCAGGTGAAAGGCTGGAATATTATAATGAGCTAGAGCTAATGACGTCAGAAACTACCCACTCCTGAAACCTCCTGATTTATCTCCTGGATCCAGACTGAGGCAGCCCACAAAAACATGACTGAGTCATTTTTTTTCACACTTTTCCTGCTGATAGGCCCTCCACAGTCCCAAATGTACAGAATCAAATGATTAAAAACTTGGTTTTGCATAATACGTCCCCTTTAACTCATTGACTGGCAGCCATTTTCAGAACAGAGTCCCATACTGCCAGAGCTTTTTGAGCATTTTGACTGATTTTTCAAGAGCCACAGAATAGTTTGTGCTATGACTATGTAAACACCGAACACACCAAAAGAAAGAGTAGACTCTCTTCTTTCATCAGGAAAAAAATGTGTTTCTACCTTATTCCGTTCTTCCTGGACTTGCGTCTCACTGGCGACATGTTCTCTCATAGCGAACCGTTCCCTTTTTCTTATTTGCCTACAGTCTATGCTCATCTCCCATCAAAAGTGGCACTGCCCCCTAGAGGGTCAATTTGTTACTACATACTCTGTCTAGAAGCCGATATTTACGGACAAGCTTTAGCAGATCGTCCCCCAGCCACTCTCGTTGAAAAACATAAAAGACGTCTATAGACGTCTTTGGCAGTCAACGGTTGTATTTGAATTGACGTCTATAGACGTCTTTGGCAGCCAATGAGTTAAAAACCGGCTTCTTTTGCTCGGATGTTTATTGGAAATGCTGATTTAGTGTAATTAGAATTTAAAGTTTGGATCGATTCTCGTGCAGGAGATTTATTTCTTTGTGTTATTATACTCGTAAAAGTACACTTTCTCATTTAAAAATAAAGCAACACACTGGGAAAGCTGTGTTTGATTATGCATTTGTGTACGGTTTTATTTCTGGAGCCCGTTCAGCTCAGCAGGAGTCGGTGATCCGTCTGAGAGAGCTGAACCTCATCCGGTCGTAGCCCATCTCCCTGAAGCTGCGGTACTCGCCGGGCCTCAGGTACATCATCCTGCCCCTGAAGTGGGGCTGCTCGTACATCAGCCAGTGGCCGTCCATCACCTGGCAGGACATGCAGTCCGACATCTGGAACCGGTCCTGGATGTTGTCGCAGTCCTCCATCAGCTCCTGGCTCTGGCCCCCGAAGTTCTCCATCTCGTAGATGCGGATCCTGTAGGCGCCCTGGTGCTGCTCGGAGACAGAGGGCAAGTCAGTTTCTGTTATCGACAACCAAATACTAACTTCTACTGTTCAGATAAACAGCTGTAAGACCATAAAAATGATCATTTTAACGTCTACTACTCAGATAAGCAGCTGTAAGACCATAAAAATGAGCATTTATTAACTTCTACCGCTCAGATAAACGGCTGTAAATCCATAAAAGTATTTATTTATTAACTTCTACTACTCAGATAGGCAGCTGTAAAACCATAAAAATGAACATTTTAACTTCTACTGTGCCGATAAAGAGCTGTAAGACCATAAAAATGTTCATTTATTAACTTCTATTGCTCAGATAGACAGCTATAAATCCATAAAAATGATCATTTTAACGTCTACTACTCAGATAAGCAGTTGTAAAACCTTAAAAATGAGCATTTATTGACTTCTACTGCTCAGATAAACAGCTGTAAAACCATGAAAATGAACATTTTAACTTCTACTGCTGTGATAAGTAGTTGTGAATCCATAAAAATGATCATCTAATTGTTGATTTCTGAGCTCCTGCTGCTCATCCTGGTTCCTACCGTAGGGATCATCCTGCATGAGCGGATGCAGTCGCTGAAGCCCATCATTCTCTGGTAGTCCGAGTACTCGCCCCTCCTCATGAGGTACTGGTTCCCCATGAAGTTGGGCCTGTCGTAGACCATGAACATGCCGCTCTCCACCCTGCAGGACTGGCACTTGTTCAGGTGGGAGGACATGTCCGCGCAGTCGCTGCTGGTCTCATAGGAGCGACCCTGGAAGTTCTTGTCCTCGTAGAAGATGATCTGAAACAGAGCAGATACACTGTTTTATTAACCTCCAGAGAGTCTAGCTTCTATCTGGTTCTGGTCCAGGTCTCTGACCAGTTTAAGAACCAGACTCTGTCCTGGTTCAGGTAGTTTTTCTTCCTAGAGGCTCGGTGGGTTTATCTTTAGATTTAAAATGTCTGTTTACAGATTTCATTCATTTGGTTCTGAGGGTCCAAATGACTTATTTACAACATTTGAATTCCACCATCAGAACATGATTGGTGGAAAATGTCTAAAAGCATTTTCCTTTAGATTTAAACAGTAAAAAAGCAGGAAAAGCTGAGATTTCTGAGCTCTTTGAACACAACAATGATTTTCCTTCATCTAAAGATCTATAAAGCTGATTTTTTCAGTGATTTTGCTTAGTCTAAATACCTAAAAAAGATTTTGAAATGATTTTCCTTCATCTAAATACATAAAATGGCTGATTTTCAATTACTTCCTTCATCTAAAGCCCTAAAAAGCTGGTTTCTCAGTGGTTTTCTACAGAATTCCCCACTCAGATTGTTCCTTCCTAAGATTTTACTTCAACTAGATAACTTAAATAGCTGTTTTTCCTTCAGATTTCAAGTGTCTGATAGCGTCTGTTATGAGGCCCAGAGGTCAAAGGTCAAATAAAAAAGCAGGATCCTGTTACAGAGAGCATGTTCTCCTCCAGAACAGGCTCTCTGGGGCTGTGGGGGACCTACCTTTCCGTGCATGGTGGCAGATAGTTTGAGCGGTGATGTGGCAGTGCCATACCGGATTGAAGCCTTTTTTATAGCGATCGCCACATCCAGACGGTGGATGGGCCCATTGTACGGTATCCATGAGTCAGCAGCATGCAACGGCGCTCCCTCTGCATGTGAATGCTGATGGGAAAGAGTTATTATGCATCCGCTCTATGCCCCTATCATTCTAGATCAAATAGAGCCTGTCATCGAGTTTTGGGATCTCCTCGGGTGGGATTCAGCTCAACAACTTTGGGGAGAAAAGAAAAGAAAGAAGTCCGAATGCTCTTCAAGTTGAATGAACTTGTTTTGTCCTGACAAATCTTGCAGGAGTGAGTTTTAATTTAAATAAAAGTCCTCTAAGATGCTGTGCAGAGGATTCCCCGAGTCAGCGACCTGCAGACAAAAACTGCTTGGCAGGTAAAAGCAAATCTTCAGTAAAGTTGCTTTAATTTGACTTTTTTTTTCAGTTTTCCGAACAATAATTGAGTCTAAGGATGAAAGAAATCTGTTCTGATGAGTGGTCAAAACCTAAAACTTTGTTCTTTGGACTTATTCTGAAGAAAACAAACCTTTGTTATGCTAATTTTGGGGAAAACAAACTGTGTATTTAAAAGTGAGTTTGTTTTTCTATGTTCTGTTCAGATGGAAAATCAGTGACCTCTAAGTCTGTTTTCCGTTAAGATTTATGATGCTTTAATCTGCATCAGATTAATCAAAAGAAACAGGAACTAGATAAAGAGCTGTTCCTGTGAAACAGCTGTGAGAATGCCAACAACTGAATGAAGAGAGCAAAAGAGTTTAAAGGAAAAAGGCTGAAGACAGCACAAGACAGCACTGAGGAAGCAGAAGAAGCCAAAGAAAAGCTGAAAAACTCATAATGTCTAATTGGATATAGGCTGAAGTCAGGAATAATAATTTGGAAAAGCTGATAACTAATGAGTGGAAGAAATCAGTTAAAAGGATTAGAAGAAGAGGATTGAGTAAAAAAAAGCCATAAAATTATCACGAAGGCACAAGAAGTTATATGAAGTTTCACATCAGGCTGAAAGGTCCTGGTTCGCCCGGGATTCAAACCCAGAACCCTCTTGCTGGGAGGCGACAGTGCTAACCACTACACCACCGTGCCGTGTATCTGAGGAGACAGCTCAGGTGTCACACCATAACAGTCGTTAGTCGTCATAGAAACGGCCGCACCTGGCTTCATTTACACATGCAGGCTCTCTGCCAAATGCTTGCTCAACAGCCAAAAGTTCCCCTCACATTCTGACCTCCTGAGCCAAAACTAAAAGAGCCATGTTAATTCTGAAGACACCGTGAGCGCCTGGAGAGATTGGGGATCGTTATGGTGTTTTTATTTTTTTAATTGAGCCAGGAATGGCCCAACGGGAGCGATTTCAAAATAGGAGACTTTTCAGAGTTGAACAAGTTGTCAGTGAGATTTCTGAATGGATTTTCAATGTAATCTTGGTGGTAGAGCTCTGACTCTGAGGCTCATAGCTCAAAATCTGAAAGGTTGAAGGCTTTGAAAGTTACATTGGGTGAAAGAGGACAAATTTTCCTACGTTTTAAGGTATAATTGGTGTATGAAGGCTGAAGCGTGTGGAAGTAATCTGAAGGAGTTTGAAGAAGTGGAAGAGTGGCTGAAACTCTAGAGTGTGTCACATGACTTCTTTGATCTCCTACTCTAACTTGGTCCCATAGGAAGCCATAGGAAAAACAGAAATTTCAATGATTTTAAAACTGCCATATTTCGAAAACGGCTGAATATTTTTAAGAGAAAAGTAATAGATGGATAGCTGAATGGCCTGAGAGCCATATAAAAGTTGAATTTTTTTTTCTAGCTGAAAGTAGGCTGAAGTAGTTAGGGCTGAAGTAGGTCAAAGTTTTAGACGGAGTTGAAGATTTCTCCATTCATTTCAATAAGAGAAAACAAAAACAGATAAAGTTAAATAACTTAAAAAGTTGAAAAGACTTGAACACCAAAAGTAATAGCAGCATAGTGCTGAAGGAGCTGAACATTTTGATACCTTATTTGTTGAAATCGGCTGAAAGGTGTAGGAGGAGTTAGACGGAGAAGAAGTTAATCAGGAAAGGTATAGTCAAACCAAAGCTAACCTGCTTTGTTTTGTGGTGATCAGACATTCTCTTGACTCTTCTTGACTGTAAGAATGGAGTTAAAGGTCACAAATGATCAGTGTTTTCAGGATATTGAGTCAGATTTAGCTGATGACGTCACTCAGCCGAGCTTTCAGTAACAACATGGCTGCAGTTCAACATCTGGGCTGCAGATGTTCTGCAGGATTCAGCAGCCATTGCTAAGCAGCTCTAAGCAGATCCGGGGTCTTCGTCCTTCCTGTTCCCACTCTGTCTGCAGGCTCTGTCTGCCTGATATTCAATTTTCAATTCAATTTTATTTCTATAGCGCCACATCACAACAACAGTTGTCTCACAGCGCTTTACAAACAGAGCAGGTCAGACCCTACTCTGAAGTTAATTACAGAAACCCAACAATTCCCACCATGAGCAAGCACTAGGCGACACAGGCAAGGAAAAACTTCCTTTTAACAGGCAGAAACCTCGAGCAGAACCATGGCTCAGGGTGGGCGGCCATCTGCCTCGGCTGGTTGGGGGTGAGGGTGATATCCATTCTGTCTGCAGGCTCTGTCTGCCTGACATTCAATTTTCAATTCAATTTTATTTATATAGCGCCACATCACAACAACAGTTGTCTCACAGCTTTCCAAACAGAGCAGGTCAGACCCTACTCTGAAGTTAATTACAGAAACCCAACAATTCCCACCATGAGCAAGCACTAGGCGACACAGGCAAGGAAAAACTTCCCTTTAACAGGCAGAAGCCTCGACCAGAACCATGGCTCATTTCAGATTCTTAAATCTGGATACGGTGAAACAGGTCTCATATTTGAATGTTTAAATCCGGGCTGAAAATAGTTCTATTTAGCTGTGATAGGGAATTTTATCTACATTGTGCTTCATTTCAGGAATATTCGTCTCTCAGTTGAGCTACTATATATGGGTTATATGAACGATTTTTCAAGATAAAAATGACTTGTATGTGGTTTATTCTAAACTATTTCTTATATAGCATCTTTATCTGCTCATTATGAGCATTAGTTGGATGTATTCAATTTAAATGGTTTTTGTCTTGTGCCTCTAAATTTGAACTATATCTAACTCTATGAAACTATAACAATTTTTTTTTCTCTTTTTTGTTGTATTTCACTGATTGTTCATTAATGTTGATGCGTTAGTTTGTGTTTGCAGAGCAGAACAAAAGCCAGAGGTCCAATATTTTTTTGTTTGTTCTACTTTTTTATTTCAGTTATAAAG